TCTCTGTCTGTCTCTCTGTCTGTCTGTGGCACCTTTTCCTTTCCGCCATGTTGGGAGGCATATGAAACCATGCAGCACACAAGCCCAAATCCAAATTTGTGTTGGGTTGCAAAACTGCAAGGCGGGGAATTGTTTTGGGCCATGCGGTTTCATGCAGCCCGAGACGGTTCTAGGATGTAGCCCAGAATAATCTTTTTGGCCAGCCAGCATGACTACAGGCCACTGGTTGGGCCCTATGATTTCCCCAGCAGGTTCTTGGAGGACGCTCTTATGCAAAACCCGCCTCACAAATAGTTATATAGATGGATATAAGGTCTATATTCTCAGAGCTACTCTGATTCTGTGCCTCTTTTCCATGTGTCTTTCCCTTGTCTGTTAGATTTGGGCTTGAGCATATCCATGAAGAGAGAACATTGCCACCGACAACACAACATGCCTATAGTGTCAATGGCATGCCCATGCCTCATGGGCTGCCGATACATTCTATACACTCCCCTTAACCTCCTCTAGAAAATGCAATATGCTTGCTTCCAAAAGCTAACCCCCACAACAAAAAAAGCACCCCCCCAAGCCCCCTGCACGCACGCCCCCCATTCATGAATCGTACCCTTTCCATTTAGCTTGCTGGAACAGAATACAGGAAGGGTTTTGAGAAGAGAAGAGAGGGATGCAAGCGCGAAGCGAAGGGATAAGTTTGAGAAATTGACTTAGGAAGCAACCAACCTGCCTGAAGGATGCGAGCTCTATGCAAGTCGACGTCAAAAGTCCCAGACCCTTTGATGTAGAAAACATCCTTGAAGAGCCCAATGGATCCCCACTGTTCAGTTGATGGCTTATTTGGCGAGAGGATGACGATTGGTGGGTTGGGAAGACCTGGGATTCTGAAGTGTTCAATGAAGTAGAAAAGGTTGCGTGGCCATTTCCCCTCACAACAGACCAAAACATGTGCTTCGTCAGTGGAGATATGACTCCGCGTCCTTTCCTGCAGATTTGCGGCTATCTTCTCCTGATTGAATTCAAGCACGGATGGCTTTGGTTTGCCCGGCACGTAGACCGGGGGCCACTGTAACATCATGTCAACAATGCTGTCGGCAATCTCCGACTGATGGTCGATAGGACATTCCTGCTGTGTAACTGTGGACTCAGCACCACCAACGAGTCCATCGAATGAAGCTGCTTCGGCAGCAGTTCCATCACGACTGTCGTTCTTGGTTATCATATTGTGTTCACGAGGACATACGATGTCAAACACGCCTTCATTGACTGTATTCTTACTCTTCATGGGCATGCACATGTTTGGCAATCCCACTGACCGTCTGTTACCCATGCAGCTTGCACCGCTTTCGTGGCGTCGTTTTGGCGCAAGATGACCGATCATCGATCTCTGTGGTAGGGTGCGTAACTGCTGTCCCGACTTCAGCTCCCAGTTGCCCCAACTATTGCTGGTCGCTGATCCTCTTTTCTGCGACTTCGCCTCCATCTCCTCGATCAATTGTTCCTGCAACGAGCCTCGGCGGTCTGTGGAGAAGCAACGACAAAATCGAAGTTTTCTCAGGCAATGACATGTGCTGAACAGCTTCTCATCGTCTTCCTGAAAAGCGGAGATCTGGATCACAACCTCCAAGCTTTCAGCGATGACTAAACCAACATCCTTGCCTTGCACTATCCTCCCTGTGGGATTCAACAGCAAGACACGGCCCTCGCCATCCTCATTGTCGACATCCAGTCCAATCAGGAGTGCTTCAAATTCCTTATAGACAGTACGCGCAACCTGTTGGCAGCATGACGTCATAACAGAAAGATCGGTTATGCAAAAGAAACTTTAAGAAAAGTCCAAACGTGCATGGAGACTGGACACACATATGAAAGCAATTTATCAACTGTAGCATTCAGCAAAATAACTGTTGATGCAAACATAATCACAACAGATCAAGAGACAAAGATGCCACCAAAACTGCTACTAGGACAACGGAGTCGCATAATGTAGGTTAACCGTCAACCTACAAAAAAATCACTTTTTGCAGCCCCACACCTTTTGCGGATGCGGAGTCACACCCCACAAAATAGTTGAAAACCTGAAAGAGATGGAGGGCACATGAAAATCCGCATTACATTAGCATCAAAAGATCCATTCTTAACTCATCGGGAAACTACATGAGAATCGTTACTATGTCGTTTTGATTCTTTGAATACATCCATTCGTTCATTACTGCCGATTTGCTGTTCATGTTTCCAGTTTCTGAAGGCAATCTGAGAATGGTGAAACTTCATTTTCAGTGCTCATTTGAGGCACTGCAGGACTGCTCTACAGTTTAAAAAGTCATGCATCACAGGGCTTCAACTCTTCCACAGTCTCTGTAAGAATTCAATCAATAGGAATGGTAAGATATCTGCCTCCCCCGTTTCATCTTATGCCAGCTACCTCGCACTACCTCCTCTTGAACTCTTTAGCTTTCCCATCTTTCTCTTTCCCACTCTCCACTCTCGATCTCTCTTTCTCAAAGAGCAGGGAGTATCTTCTCTCACTCTCTCTTCAGGAGAAACAACAGCTCCCCCCCCGCCTCTCTCTCTCCCTTTCTCTCTGCCCCTTTCACACACACACACACACACACACACACACACACACACACACACACACACACACAAAGAGCTTCTCTTGGTTGATCTCTCTCCCTCTACTCCCTCTCTACCCCTTTCATCCTGGCTCTTGCTCTCAGTCACAACCTTTGCTTCTCCTTTTTCTCTTTTCCTCTCTCTCAATGGAAAGTGCTCTCTCCTGGCCACCCTTTTTCTCTCCACCTAGCTATCAGTGTATGTACATGGCAATGGTTAGGTACGTATGTATTTTCATACAGATGGAGAGAGATAGGGTGAGGGCATTCCTTTCGGAGAGGAAAAGAAAGGGAAAGGGAAAGGGAAAGGAAAGGTTGTGACTCATGAGTGAAGAGGAAGAGCACGGATGAAATGGAGCCAGAAGATGCAGGGGGANGAAAAGAAAGGGAAAGGGAAAGGGAAAGGAAAGGTTGTGACTCATGAGTGAAGAGGAAGAGCACGGATGAAATGGAGCCAGAAGATGCAGGGGGAGAGAGATCAAGAGAGGGAAGCTCTTTGTGTCACTCTCTGTGCACTTCCCTCTCTCTCTCCCCCTCCCTTTGTGCACTTCACTCTGTTACACTCTTGCTCTCAGTCACAACCTTTGCTTCTCCTTTTGCTCTTTTCCTCTCTCTCAATGGAAAGTGCTCTCTCCTGGCCACCCTTTTTCTCTCCACCTAGCTATCAGTGTATGTATTTTCATACAGATGGAGAGAGATAGGGTGAGGGCATTCCTTTCGGAGAGGAAAAGAAAGGGAAAGGGAAAGGGAAAGGAAAGGTTGTGACTCATGAGTGAAGAGGAAGAGCACGGATGAAATGGAGCCAGAAGATGCAGGGGGA